ATATTGTTCTTTAGCTAGGTTCAGTTTGTTATTTAACCTGCCTATAATGAGTTTCTTTTTCATTAATTTCAAACAAATTTGCATTTCTTTGATCTCTAAGTTCTTTTACCACAAACTAAGTTTTTTTTTAAATAACAACTTACTTTTGTGTCATGGGTGTATTTCTTTTATTTATCTCTTTGTAAATTGTAACTATACTCATTCCAACTCCTTTTTTATGTCTATATTATCTCGATGTTATTAGGTATAAATTCTTTGATTCATGAATGTGTTGCTCTCTTTTCTCAAATGATTGATGCTTCTTAGTCATGTGTTGATCCTTTGCCCTTAATTATGACCCCCTGCTGACACCATGACCTTTCAGTGTAGTCACCTTCTCGGTGATGTCACTAATTTTGGTATAGTAAGTAGTGGCAGCCTTTGTTCATTGCTCTACTGAGAGAAGGACATATATTTGTCTCTCTTAATATAGAAATGTCTGAAATAATATTTTTATAAACTTCTTACAAAATCCGTTTTAAACTGATAAACTCTAATGCCAGTGTTTAAGAGAGGCAAGAAATTTTGGTGTGCATCCTCAGCCTACTATCTTGAAATTAGTCCCATGGAGTTGTCAAAACTTGATAGGAGGTGTAGCCATAGAAATAACACTCTGACAGAAGTCATACCATTAAGAAAAAAAGTATAGGCATAATCAAACAAAATCTCAGAATGAAAGAAATCTACCTCCTTCTTTCCTCTCATCTCTTTCCAGTGCCTTTGTTTGAACCAGATCTAACCGTAAGCCAGAGAGTAGGTGAGTCCAGGAATGGCAATTCACTGAAATTTTTAGAGCAGAGCCTAGAAGAAGAGTTAAATGGAGGAAACCCAACATATCAAAATGCTTTTAAGAACTAATTTGTCAACACTCCACCTTAATGCATACGGCACAGTGTTTCATTATGACAGTATAATCGAGGATCAACTTCTCTTTTTAAAGATTTTATTTATTTATTTGACAGAGAGAGACACAGCAAGAGAGGGAACACAAACAGGGGGAGTGGGAGAGGGAGAAGCAGGCTTCCCACTGAGCAGGGAGCCCAATGCGGGGCTCGATCCCAGGATCCTGGGATCATGACCTGAGTTGAAGGCAGGCGCTTAAGGAATGAACCACCCAGGTGCCCTGAGGATCAACTTCTTATGGTAGCCAAAATTAACATACCTGTTCAAATAATCTAACCTTCTAATTATGCTTTTTTTTCCTTAGCTAAAAATTTTCACTAATTTCAACACCTATACTCCATAATATATATATATATATAAAGATGTAAAGTCTATACATAAATATTGTATTAATAAGTAACTTTTAATAAGTTATAATATAGAGATACAACTATTTTATCTGTTTGTGTCTCATCTAAGAAGTCTTGAACTTGATACATGAACATCCACCAGTGATCTGAAAATCAAGAGACTGGGGCTGGGATTACTCCTGTACTGAACAGAATTATTTTATTTTCTTATCAGGTCTTCTTCACACAATGATTCCTCTAATTTTTTAGAGACAAGAAAGCAAAGGAGTTAAGGCAAATATTTGCCATGCTTGACAATGTTCTGATGTGCTAACTAATTCCAATCAGGACAGCCAATGTGAGCTAAATTAATATCATTATGCAAAAAATAAAAGTAGCATCAGGAATACAATTTACTAATTTGCTGATAATGGTTGAACACCAGCCAGTAGGTACTAACTAACGGCAGCACAAACACGTATTGACTGAACAGTAGTAGATACAATGCAATTTTTTTTCTTTTCAATTTTATACTTGATGGTAATATATCATCTTTGGGTATTCTTGTTATCACAAATTTTACCACAAAGATTATGTTAAAAATTACCTTATATATATATATATATATATATATATATATATATATATA